GAGAGTGTGGATTAGTCTTGGTGTAACAATGCATGGATTGATTAACATTGATAGACTTACTAATAGGGGTTTTCCCCTTTTTTCTGGCAACAAAACTGACACCTTTTGCAAGGAATCATGCTTACATTAACCACAATACTTGCATTTGACTGCATTTGACTGCAAGTATTGTGGTTAATGTAAGCATGATTCCTTGCAAAAGGTGTCAGTTTTGTTGCCAGAAAAAAGGGGAAAACCCCTATTAGTATATTTTGGTACTGGCAAAAGAGGTCCCATGATGAAGATTGATAGACTTTTATTGATTGTTTTTATACTCACAGTAATAACATTTTACAAGAATAAGGTTCAGTCCTTTGTCGATCCACTGCTGGATGAAGGTCTCCCCACGTTGTGCCGGTCATGGGTCATATTTGACCATACTTCATCACGCCGGTCAGTGCTGGTTGGTTGCTGAAAGAGTGCCCAGGACCTGTTCAGATATCACTCACCACTGATGTTAGCCGTGGCTGAGAATTAATCTCAAGATCACGGAGTTCATAGCGCAGTGCACTAACTGCTGCACCACTGCTCCATTCAAGCTCACAATACACGCGTCGAATCGTGTCAGGATCTATGTTTTAATTCGTATACATTGTAGATCATGGATTTTCGTGACCCTTGCAGCTACGACATTTAACACAATTATTCTTGAATTACAATCCTGAATTGCTGGGCCTCGAATGGTTACACCCCTGTTGGACATTTCCTGAACTCCAGCATATTCAGCGCTGAAACCAACGTTTAAACGTGTCAACTCGACATGTCTTGACCCTGTGAGTTCAAGTGTCATCAAGATGGAACAACTGTTTGTATGTCCCCACCCCCCCCACCTAAAAAAAAGTATATTTTTACACATCACATTATCCACACGTCACATCACCCACGCATCGGTTTAATACAAGCAAACTCGGGATCGATTTGTCCAACCAGGACCCATCCATATGCCTATAAACATATGGCAGTTCAACAGTATTGGTTTAAGCTTTGTTGATGAGACCCGAATGTCGAAACCAGCCCCGAGTTTTCTTGTATAAGACCAATGCTGATGAAAAAACGCACAGAAAGCTGTGTTGGCTGATGGGATGTCAGTTTAACACGGAGGCATTCGCTACCAATATCGTCCATAAGTTTTTTTTGGGTTAGATCGCATAAATATAAATGTCTCGTTAAACCTGCCACCATCTGACAGCCAATAAATAAGGTTTGTCAGGTAAGCAGAACATGCAAATTCGTGACTCGTACAGCACACTGGTGTGTTGGCGTAAATCCACAGCATTTACAATCTGTGTACGATGTGTCGTCAGTAATTACAACCAGCATCAGACGACAGACAGATTTGTGGAGAAATCCTTCTGTTTCGTTCCTTAAATAGAGAGATAGATGTGATGTTGTCACTTGTGAGCCCTTCTTGTGAGAAGGTTAGAGGGGGGGTTAATGAATGTATATAATATTCTTGGTTCTTTCGGTAAAGTCACTGAAAGAACCAAGAATATGAATCCCTGCAGTCACGAAAGCTTTAAATCGAAATTTGAATGCATATAAATTACAATGGCTATCCATTGAAATGTATATGCATTCATTTTGTGGACTGTGTAAAAAGCTATTTAATATTTTTATCTTTAGGGACAGATGAGAAAGAGGCAGTCTCATTCATTATGTTGCCTCTCCAGTGTTTTCCTTTCGTACCGCATGTTGTTAAGAAATTTAATTTAATAATTCAGCTCCTGCAGAGCTCTCAACACGTGGAGCGAAACGTCGGACAACGTGGAGAACAGTACGCGGTACAACCCAAACGGCTCTCGAATATCCGTGAGCGGACTATGTGGGTTGTGGATGAACCGTGCTCGCGACAAAATCCCTGACGCAAGCAGGGTTCATGAGCTGCTCCTCACTCGCCGAAGGTCAGTGCTCATGTGATCACAAACATGTTAAGTAAATCGATAACTTCAAAAATATATAACACAAAGAGATAACACATCTAATCTCTTCACCCCCAGAATACAATCTCAATACGTTCGTCCTCTGCCTTGAAGGAAAAGAGGTTTTAAGGAGGTAGAGATTGCTATGCTGTGCTGTGAAGGACCATTGCACAAAACGTTCCTTGTAAGGCCACCGTGTTATTGACGAATGTGCCGAGGGTGTTATTCAATTGCGCTTTTGCAACACTGCCAACGCAGCAGCATCACCAAATAATGCGTCCCGTTACACATAGTTAAAGAATATATACACACACATTTAATAGCTTTATTTACATGTGTTTTGCATTTTCCTACTTGTTTTATCCGAGCCACCCCACATAATCTGAAGTTGAATGGATCTAATTCCTGTTCTATTCGTGCGTACTATGCCAGCAATATGTTCAGGAGCTAAAGGCCATGTCGAGGTCTGGTCGCCACCAGAAGGCTTCAGGAGAGAGTTCGCGTCGTTTTGCTATTCCTCCTCTATGGCCTATAGTTTAGTTCCATGGCCACAATCGTACTACTGTGGCTTGTCCCCCCCCCCCCCTATGTTCTATTGTAGTCGATAGTACGCACATGTCTTCGCGGGGGAATGTCAAAGCCAGGAGGTGCGATGTTTGCGTCTAGAAGATGTTTATTCTGGACGTCCGCGTCAATCCCTCGTGTTCGCACGGCAGGGTTTCTCTTCTTGATCTGGGCGAGATTCTAGACAGGTGACACAGCAGTGTGATCCCAGCAGGGGGACCGGCACTTGAGTCGGTAGTGGGAAGACGGTGTAGCCGTCTCGCGCTGGCTCTCCTCCCGTGTTGTGTGCTTTCGCGTCACCTTAAACAACTAATACCGCCATCATCCGAGGCAAAACGGACGTCGTTAATTCGAATCTCACTCAATTTCTGGAGCACAGGATTTATCATCACGCCACTCACCTTTGCACTCCCAACCATCGACACGTCTGCCTTGCCCACATTTAACGAACTCACCCGTTCATGTGTAAACCATTGCGCGCTGCACTCGCATGATTCGTGGTTGACACGGGGAAACATGGCACTGGGAATGGCCACACGCTTGTGGATTCAGACAAACCGGATACATTTTTGTAAATGATCGGAAATGTGGCTGCGTGCAATACAGTCACGGAATGACCACGTGCACGGCATGATGGGAACACCGATCCAATGGTCACAATCGAGCCCGTTGTCATCTAGAAATCATCTTCCGTGTATTATTACGAAGATTACCCCGTAGAATCGCAATTTAAAAGTATGAGCCACATGCAGTTTCACTGGAATTAAGTGCAATAGTTAGTACAATGTAATGCTGATAATTTTAAACAAACAACGGGACATAGCAATGTCTTATCTTCTGCAAATAGAATTGGCAAAAGATTGTCGGCCACATTGCTGTGTTTTTCTTTAAGGCATCGTTGTCTTTTTCACGTTTGTAGACTTGTTTTCATTATTCCACGAACGGATGAGGGCCAAACCCACGCAGTACGGGTTAGTAGTGGTGGTTGTTATTTAAACATCGCTCACCACGCTGGTTAATGCAGATTTGGTGAAAAGGCAGGGGGCATTGAAGGCGTGGCATTCATTGTGCGATGGGTTTTGCTGCACCGCCCTCTGCTGACAACACAACACACAGCAGCCTACTTAGCGTGTTCACCCCCCATCAAAGGACGATCGCAGGACTCAAGTTTTATTCGCTTCTGAGATCTGATAAGACTGGGCCGCATTTCGGGCGATTTGGTCACAGCTCAAGAGAGCTTATATCCAAGACAAAGGTGTTTTGGGGTTATATCGCGTGAATGTGTCGTTAAATGCGTCACCACCCGACACAGCCAATTACATAATTACCTAATTGGCTGTGTCGGGTTATGGCGGGTTTAATTACATTTATATTTACGCGATCTAATCCGAGAATATTTTTTTATGGACAATATTGGTCGCTAAAGCCTACGTGTTAAAGGGCATATTTATTGCACATACACAACATAATGCATTACCAATACAGCTTGACCCCATAAATCAAAACAAAGACCGTAAAATGAAGGCAAAAACTGAACATTTGTTTTCCAGTTAATTCAGGTTTATTTCAAGAGTCCTAGATGTTGGGTTTACACGTTGTTTATCGAACTATAACAACAAGAAATCATAAAATGTGGGACATTCATCACGATTACAGATCCTGTTGTCTGTAGATCAGTTTAGACAAACTGTAGCAGGCTCAGTTAATTCACGAGTGAATCATTCAAGATACTGAACATCCAGATATATTGAACTATCCAGTGTTTTTTGGAAAATGTAGCTTTAAAAAAATGAAGCCGGTTTTGACTGAAAAACGAAATAAACAAAAACGGAACAGGACAAATAAAGTCACCTACATATATGTGCAAGCACTTAAGCAAATATTCTCTTGCAAAAAATGCACTTAAAGATTAACTTATCGAAAACAGCTCTGTGTACATGGCTATGGAGGGAAAACAAACGTGCACATTATTCGTAGTGTGGTTAAAATGTGTGAATGAACTACAAGCAACGGAGTTAGCACGAGCAAGTCCATCTTCTTGCTTGAATTAGAGAAATACGAAGGAGTTATTCAATGGCAGCTGACTGCCAAAGACTATAATGGTGTGGAATCAAGAACAGTAAGTGGACACCACATGCAGACGGTCAACAGAACTGCAAGCATTTGCCCACACAATTTCTTGTTACCATTATCACACCGGCTTTCCAATTTTCATGAAATTCAAACCATGTCTGTTGCCTTTCAAATGATCAGCATGAAAATGTACACGGCATAAAATCGTTAAAGTCAAAATATAAACGTTGAAAATCAGTAAGGAAATGTACATTACAATTTCATAGTTTTTTTTAGAAATCAAAAGTGCCTCCCCTGCCCAAAACGAGCGTGGGGAGCGGGTGCTCATTTTGTATTGGTGCCCTAGGCCAGTGGAGTAAAACTTACACACGTGTGGTTGGGTGTCAAACCACTGCATAACACAAGCACAGTTGACTTCCCACAAAGTGGGATATCGTTTATTCACCCCAGAACAATGATGGACCGAGTAAGCTCCAGACTCTTAAACTCGATCTTTCGATTGCGAGGTGGACGCAGCACTAACCACGGTACCAATACTTCAAGATGTGTCGCCGTGCTGAAATATACTTGAGAAACATTGGGGAGAAATGTCATTAAAACGGTACAGAGCCAATCAAGATTTACTTTTCTAATTTCATCCAATCACGTGGTTGGTGACGCACTGAATCCAGAAAATCTGAATCATCCAAAGGAGGCAAGGGGCTTGCAACGCAACAGCGAGTCGGTCAATTACAATCCATCATTCTCAGCAGCACCTGAACCGGTGGGTGACGTTTTTGGACACGCGTTACTAATCGAGTCCAGTTTTGTTGTACTCACTTAAATTATAGCGATCCTCAACACCGTGTGACCCATGCTCTCCATTCACAAATTTCCAACTCAAACGCAGTTTCGCTTCGGGTGGATGTGACATCACCCAACTTAAATTAAAAAAAAAGACAGTACATATTGGAACCATTAAACAGAAACAAAACTGTCCATCTGTAACTCACAGCATTTGGAACATTTCAATAACCGAGCATAACAACCAAAGAGAAATAATTACAAAAACCTTATTTTTTTTTAAATGTAGTTATTGGTTCCGAGATTTCAATTACTTAAAAAAAGATGAACGTGAAAAAAAGTGAAGGTACTCTTTTGTACAAAGTGTCACATTAAAAATATATATATGCATTCTCCATGCATGCAATAATAATAATTAAAAAAAATCTGCACGTTCGGCGCGGCTTTTTCGCCCACATGATCCATAAAGCATACGAAAATACATACAAACTTTACACTTTTCCTTTTGCAATGCAAAACAGCTCAAGACACGCGCAAGCACGCAACAGCAGCAACAGCAGCAATTGCATTTTAAAGACCATAAGATCATATCACCATCGACCCTGAAGACCACAAAACCAGCGAGCTCACAGATCGTACTATTATCAGCGATCATAAGATCAAGTGAGGCGTCCCCACAAAGGGACTGACCACACAGTGCATTCCCATCGCTTTAGATATAGGAACAAATGCAAGCTTTGCCAGTGTAGGTGCCATACGCCCAGCTATGCACGGTACAAACACTCACATAGCAAGGTGCACTGCGGGCAGAGAGAATCACTTTAGAGTATTAGCAGTGGCGCAGCCTGCAGACATGTCTGTCTGTCTGTCTGCAGTCCGCCATAGCACCGCAGGCCGCTCGACACCAACAGGTAAGAGGGTTTCTGCAGGAGAAACTTTACGCGTAGACGCACACGCACACACACGCGCAGCACATTACAACAGCTGAAGCAGACGACCAGATCTGCCGGACACACCAGTCTCTTTCCAAGCCAACGCGTCTCCTCTGCTCGAGTGAGCAATAGGGTGCTAGCTCATCTTCAATTAGGTGGCTCCAAGCGAGTGGTGGAAATTCCACATTCCTAAGGTGAGGGCCCATTATTTCCATCAGACAACCACTTTTCCACAAATAGTTTTTGTTTTAATCAACCATGAAGACATTATGGGTTGAGGTGATCTCCATCCTCCCCCCAATTAGGATTTGAACCTTTCAAATGCGAGCGCTCAAACCATAGCAACACCAAGCCAAATGGTTGCCAAAATTGTTGCAAAACATGGAAAAATTGCAATAAAAAAATCTTTATTTGCTTTTTTAAAGGTTTAGTTTTACGTGGCTAGAATTATTTTGCCCCTCAATTGATTGTATTGTCTTCTATCCTGTCTTAGTTGACACGGTTGTTGTCTATAATGACTTTTGGACTGTTAATCTCCCTCCCCCCTTGTCTCAATTTGTCCTTAACTGCTTAAAAAGTAAACTTCAGCGCTTAGCAAACACTTTGGTGCTAAGGCAACTCGAGTCCCCCAGGCATTTGGACCAAACTGCCTGAAGCCTGCAGTTTATTACAAGCTTTGCTTCCCTACAAGGATGGGTTGCCAGCTTCAAACACAAAATGCTCCCCCCCCAACTCCTTCGTTCATTCACATCCGCGGAGCGTTTAGCCTTGTATTCAGTGCATGAGAAAATAAGGCAGTACAGCAAAATGGTTTGCCGACATCCCTTAGAGATGTTGTGATATCCCCTTCAGTGTGTGGGGTATTTTCCAGGCACTTTGGTTTTCTCCCATGCACACAAATACTGAATAAGAAATTGGCCAAACACCCCGATGCAAAATATAATCCGACTCCGTGACGTTTTCCTGGATTAGAACTTGGGGTTAAAGGTGCAGCTCGACAAACGGCTTGCTCATGACACTGCTGGTGGGAAAAGTCTCCATAGAGGGCACGAAAGAGCAGCCGTTCCTCGGTATTTTGGTCCTCCTCTTCAAAGCTCCCCAGACGTCTTTGGAAGAGGTGGGCGTACCCACCCACCTCATCCGACCACGTGCGATTCGCTAAACAACTACGTGTGGGTGTTTCCCCCGTTTATAATGCTGGGTGGACAGGAGGGCAAGTGGGATTCAAGAAACTTGCACGAGTCTTCACTCCCGCGCCAGGAGATGGAATCTAACCGGCGACCACTGGTTTGCAAGTCCAGTGTGCTCACAATTACAATATGATGGTAAAGGAATATCAATAACATGATTACATTTCTGGGATGGCAATTAACAAGGCACACATGTTGCTGCACAATGCATGTTATTGACCCGGTAAGCGTTGTTTGCCAGAGTTATCTAAATTGTGCAATTTGCTAATTCCCAACAGAATACGGCACACGCTGGTGCCAGAATGTATCCGTAGAGTCCGAGTAAAGTGCCTGGGCATTGGGTGCCAGGTTATCCGGACTCCAGAAGCAGCACTTTTCATTAACTGGAATCCACCTTCAAAAGGCTTATAAATTACAAGTGTATAATAAAGGGTACTTCAGTGATGCGAAGAACACGACGACAGCCCGTGGATTCAAAGTCAAGGTTCTACCCCCCCCCACCCCCTCCACCCACGCTCTATGGAGGATGGGGCGATGCTCTTTTCCGTTAACAGAAACGAGCCAAAGTGTGAAATTCCAAATTCCCTATGGTGGTGGGGGGACCAGTCTGCCCTAAGAGCAACTACGGGGTTGCCTTGACAAAAAAAACTCTATAGCACAATGGGCTTTACTCTGTAAATAAACTTTCAACTTTGGATTTCCCTATGAAGAGGTACTCATTTGGTTGATTCCCCCCCCCCCCCCATAGAGATGAAGGACCGAGTTGATGCGCTTGCAGCCATCTCGAGGTGGAGGGAAAAATACCGAACGTGTTTTTTTCTCCCCAACTTAGCTTGCGATGCATTTACAAAGCTTTTACCAACCGCGAAGTGAACAAAATACGTCACAGCATCATGAGCGGGCGTAGCCCAATGTGAAGAAGCAGAATACACAGGACCACGCAACAACAATGCAATCTGCTCCCGTGTGCGGAGGGTTAAGAATGGCACGGATGGGACTGGCTATAGCAGAGACAGACGGTTAAAAACAACGAATGTAAAGAGAACAACGCGTTCAGCTTGAGCATTTTCAAGTTTGACATTAGAACAAGCGTTTCAGAGATCCATTTCAGACACTTCAGCAGCACGCCACCTCAGGTTTCACTTTTTTGCGGGCGAAAAATTGGTCATTCCCTTATTCCAGCGTACGCCCCTCTCTCTCTCTCGCTCTCGACACAAACCGTTTTCTTTCTCTCCCCTCATCGGCGTCGGTCCGGTTCCGTTTGAATCACAAGGCGGGAAGTGGGCACGGTGCGGCGACCGTCGCTTCTCACACAAACTTCTTCTTTTGAGCAAAGTAAGTCTCGAACCTGGCGAGGGCATACTCCTGAAAGCAAAGGGCAACGACAAGGGAGGGGGGGGGGGGAGAGTGGTTACGGTGTCACTTCAAAATACGGCCCAAGTTCAGGGCTGCGTATCAATTTTCCCTTCAAATTTAAGCAGCTTCATGTTTTTGTTGGACGGCTCAACAATTCGTGTCACATTAAAACAGTTTCTAACAAAAAAGTATGACGGTGTAAAGTACAAATAGAACTCGCGTGGTCTGGACGTGTGCGCATAGCATACAGGAAGTTTACTGTATTACTGAAGTTACTCTATGCTATTGCTCCAAGGTACATTATTACACCATTGGACAGATAAAGTGCTAAACTGCAAAACAAAGCTAGTCATTTCTGATAAGTGGCGTTTCTGTGCCATAAGGAGATGCAGCCAACAACAAGGTGAGCACTGTTGGGGCCGCTGTTTCATCGTTGAGTTTTTGGGATTGCGACGATCTTCCATTTTTTTTCCAGAATTTCGTTAGACAACTTTTAGGGCTCCTCCCCACAAAAACCCCAAGATATACTTGCGGACAACGATATATCTGCTCGCAATATTTCAAGGAACAAACTGTGATAAAAAAAAGATTTACCCCGGATAGCCACCCCGAGTCTCAAGGCTCACGAGGAGGGTCCGACATTGGTACGTTTTGGATGCCTGGCATTTTGTCCGCATTTCAGCAAGATTTCGGAAAGAGTCCAGACCCCGCAATCCCCATTTTTATCCCGATTGCATAAACTCAGACGTGTTATTACACCTATTCTATTACACACCAAATACCAAGTTCACCTTCTGTGGGGGTCACAGGTGGTTCAGATGGCATGATTGTGGTGGCCAACTTGTACGTTTAGTTTCATTATAAATCTGTCTGCATGTGCCATTTACGGTAACAAGGTCACTCCTCTAGTGCCTTGAGGTGCTTTTAATAAATAGTACAGTACATGGATGCTAAACAAATTCTAAATACTATTAATATTCCACCGAGCGTGGGAGGATACTGAAATATCCCGATAAAACTCGCTATGAACACAACTTGATAAACACTCAGGAGATCCACACAGGATGGGTTTATGTACCCCCATTTGCTCGATATCCATCACCTGGCCTCCTTGCAGGCCAGCGGGGTTTGGGCATCACACGAGTGAATGCGATCCGCAACAACCCTTTCCCTGAAGCACTGGATTACTGGTGTGCCCGACTAATAGTGGAAGCAACCTCGCCGAATTAAAGACTGGAGGCAATCTTAATCTGGAGCCCCTGTTGATGATGACGTCTTTTAAGATCGCATTATAATTACAAAGGTCCAAATCAAAATCTATTTCATCTGCGTTTAAATCACAACAGCGAATGTGCACCAGTGGCATGGCAAGTTAAATTGTAAACATGTTAAATAGACAAAGCTAACCCAATTCATATTCTACTGCTGGACATCTGTGACAAGGGAGCTTTATAGCTCATCCGATTCCTCCACTATAATCAAATATTCCGATTCTGACATTTGCATAAGCAATGTAATCACACACGTTGTTACTGAAAACTGTCGGTATGACCCACTGATGTGGCATATACAATGGTTGCGTAACTTGCTTTCTGTTGTACTATCATTTGCTCTGCAATCGGCTCTCGCCGACATGCAGAGCAATGCACCCATGATGTTTTTGTCGTCTACACAGAGCACCATCAAGCGCCAGGAGGGGGGGGGGGGAAGAGCCACACACACAGAAATCAGCAGACCAGGCTCACACTGGGCGGACACCGAGACATGTAAAGCAACGTTCATGGGGATGTGGTCAATGGAGCTTTATACAACGCCGAGGCGAACGCTTGGGGCACCACGTGGGATTATACGACCAATTAAACATTAGCCACGAGGTATTTCTGTGTCAAATGATTATTTCCAGTACGAAGATGAAGAGAGAATAAAACTATAAACCTCACGTAAGAAGGAAAAGATGCACGAAGGGTTAAGAGACAGCAAAGATACATTGCATGTAGTTTGTTGCTCATCTAGAGGCTCTTACGTGCATCATTATATATATTTGCAACTTTAGCTGTGGCTAAGACTATCTGCAGCTCACTCCGAGATGCAGAGAAAACCGTGAGGCTCGTAGTGAGCAGGGCAAGTACGGTGGCAGGGGTGGGGGCACAGTGCCCCAAAGTGCCCGCCCCAAAACTCTCAACATACACGTGTGTGTGTGTATGCTGAACTTCTTTGGCACCGTACGTAGCCAACTGTTCGAATCGGAGGTGCGGGGGGAATGACAACAAATGAAACACGACAAGCAGTTCTCAAGAAATGGGTTTTCAATCTAGATTTACAAGTGCACACGCTCCAGTTGCTTCCTAAAATCGGAAGGGAGAGCATTCCGGACGGCTGCAGAAGCGTATCTGAAAGCGCGCGATGCGGTGACCCCGCCGTTGTTCACAGGAATTGCTAATCGTTAAAATTCTCTCTGCTCAGGGATCAATGGGCGGCAGCAGCATGGACGCAAAGAAAAATCAGCAGACCAGGCGACCACAGATCAGACACCAACACGGTTAACAAGAAAAAGCTACACCTTATATAAAACATTTATTTCAGTAAATAGTGCCATGTATATTTGGTTCAAGTCCTTTATGAATGCAGCCCACCGGGGAGACAATCTCTTACAGAGCGACGCTAACAGACGCTCGCTCACAGCAGTGTTCTGACATTCGATTAAAGGTTTAACCAATCTTTGTTTGTATGTGTGAGCAATGGTATAAACGCACCAAATAACCAAACTCTATGGTGGATATCTTGGCTTGAATGATGGCCCAGAGACCCCAGAAGAAGTGGGATGCCAGGGCAAACCTGCGCACAGCAAACACGACCACAGCGCCTTAAATAACAACATCGATGATCGATCTTCATATACCCAGCTGAGCCTCAAGACACATTGTCAGGAGGATCCTGCAGACGCGTTATTTGGCCAATCCCTTAGTCAGTGTTTCTTACAAGTGAGATGAAATTCGATAGCTGGAGAGAATGAACATGTACGCGGAGAAAATACAAACTAACACGAAACTATTCTAATTTGACCAGGTAAGGCCCACTCAGCTATTAGCTCTTTTTCAGAAGCGACCTGGCCACAAATGGCAGCTCAACGCAGCGGCTTATGATGTGGAAATTTATAGCAGCCAAATATGCAACCGAATTTGATCAGGAACTTCCTTGCAGTGCTGCCATCTACTGGCCTGATCAAGAATAGAGGTCAGATTTACACCATGGCAATTTGGCAAACGGTGCGCCGCAAGGGATGGGTTGAATCGTGGATGGGTGAAACTGTCCACATCCGAGGATGTCAGTGGCGCCTACTCATTGCTTGGACAGTCATCGTGAGCCCACCGAGTGGAAGACATTTGATGATAACAAATTCACCCACCCCCCCCCCCCCTTTGTGATTCTAACAGTCACGATTCGATTCAAGAATCAATTCTGTTTTGCGTCTCCTCTACCGTCCTGTCTCACACGTTGTGCGGTTTTTGTTCCATTTCCCTTGTTCTAGTCGACAAAAGGCGACATTTACATGGATCACAAGTCATCGATTTTTACATGTAGGATGCAATGCATTTATAATGATCATAAGAGTGCATTTTAAATGGATGGATTGCTACGTGCTAATACTTCATTTCCATGGTAGAACTGGGCCCCGTGATGAGCCAGCGTGACACAGGAGGCGCCAGGTTGTTTTTCACTGGAGAAGTCGACCCATGCCACCGACATCAGAGACGAAGACAAAGATCGCCCGTATAGCCTTCACATACTGTTGGGGCAAGTGCTATTAGGGAGCAACTGTGAAGGCCGGCACGGCACGAGGGGGTGGGTGGCCAACACCACGCCCGGCCGCCTTTGTCTCCCCAGTGGTGATCCTTACACACCCACATCAGGTACTCATTTGAGGCCGAGTCGACCCAAGGGAGGCCCAGGACCGGTTCAAAATAATCATCACGGGTCTTGGCCGTGAGCGGGAATCGAACTCGGGTCGCCGGGTCTGTAGCGCAGCGTGCCGACCGTTGCGCTGTCGCATACAGTGCGTGCCAGGAGACACGAAGTAGAGGATGCCGTGCCCCCATTGCAGACCGACTGACGTCACACGCATGAGTCGGTAAACCCTACTCGCAACCCTGCTCGACCCCAAGCCAGATGTCTAATGAGATTAGCGCATCACAGTTTTGGTTCCAGTGGAAAAACACCCATAGTATGACGGCTCTGCGCTGGCGCAACGCAGATGTGCTAATAGAAAAGGGGAATAAGCGATGCCAAGCCCTGGGGATTGAACCAAGCCCCTCTATGGTGTTGGGCAGTGTCTCCAACATGGCCATTGTCAGCACCCCCCCCCGCCCCCCCACCCCAAGTCACTCAAAGATCTCCCTCGCCAGCTCGATCGCGACGCCACGCACCGATTGACCTCCACCAGCATGGCCTCCTCCTTGTTGAGATCGATGTCGTCATCGTCACCGCACGCCGCCAGGTATTGGCGAATAAAGAGCAGCTGCAACAACATCGACACCCGGCACAATCATCATGCCGGCAGCCGAAGGACGCCGATCGCGGAGACAGAGCGGCGAGATTGCCTCGTGGTGCAGGCGGAGAATTGTGGGAGGCCTTCATCCAGCAGTAGATAGCTAGTGACTGACGGTATTCATTTTACTTGAAACCGACAGCTCGAGTCGACATGTGGAATTCAAACTTGTGACCACATTGAGCCGCGAGTGCCCGCCGCAGCGCAATGGCTTTGCACAAGTGAAAGTTGATGATGATGTCACACGGAAAAATCGTGACGTTTCACAGTAGAATGTTGAGTTGTGGCTTTGGGAGATGGAGGGAATTTTCCGTGATCAGTGACGGTGGGAAATGTGTTCACTCGACTTTCCATTGTGTGACGTTCACAACAAAGGCACCAAGCGGTATTTTATTGAGTCTCAACTTAAAGCGAATTGTAACACTTGTAAAGCTCAGTGGACAAACAGGACCCTGCGGGGTGGGGCTGGTAGGAACGAATAACCAAAGAATATAAACATAATGTATTATTACACTTGTTTAGCCAGGAAAGCCCCACTGAGTCTAAAGGTTTTTGTAGGGTCCTGCCAAGTGTTTTCAGTAGGGGGCGATGTTGCTACACCTAATCGGACATCGGACGGACGATATAATCTATTGTAGGCTGGTTCACTTCGTTCCTATCAGTATAATATGGGTTTGTGGGTTTCTCGTCTGGGTTTGTGGTCTCGTGGTCCGGTTTTATTGGGTTGCCAATTCAGGTTTGTTGATTCGTAGTCCAGATTTATGGGTTCATAGCATAGGTGTGTGAGTTCTTAGTCTGAGTACCAGGATTCTCAGTCTGGTTTCTGCGTGTAGCGTGTTCATGGTGCAGTGTGCTGGTCGACGTTGTGTTCAAGTGCAGCGTACCAAGAACAGTCTGATAAGGAAGGTGTTGCTATTAAAAAAATTGGGCTAAATATGTATTTTATAATCAATTTTTTTTTATTATGCCACGTTATGTCTGCATGTGAAAACTCAATTCTTTCGATCTGCTTTTCATGTTTAGTTCTTTGTCCTTTCCCCGTACATTTTGATTAGCGCGGTTGGCTACGTAAGGTGTGAAAGAAGTTCAACTTACATGCATGTTAAGCGCTCTGTGACGATGTTATTACCAAGGGCGCTGTATTAAATCAAGTTTGATTGTATTCATCTATGTTGAACTTCTTTCGCACCGTACGCAGCCAACAGTGCTAAATTGAGGTGCTGCGGATGGATAACAGATTAAACACAAAAAGCAGTTCCAAGGAAATTAGTTTTCAATCTACGTTTAAAAGTGCATATCTACCAGTGGCTTCCGAATATCGGGAGGAAAATCGTTCCAGATGGCCACAGAAGCGAATCTGAACGCACGCGGCAATGACGGCGACCGTCTTTGACGGCTAGCCAAAAGCCGCTGCGAGGATGACCGGAGTTCGTGTGAGGGTCGATTGATTGAACGCAAACAAAGTGGTGTTTGGGTGACCTTGAATCCTGGCGTTGACTCAAAACCTATTTCAAAAGCACAACGAGGGCCGGCCCAGTGGCCTCGGCGAACGACGCAGCCAACAACGCGTCACCCCCGCCTGCCTGCCCGCCCTTCCCTCACCTGCTGCTCGCGCGATGGGTAGTTCTCCACGTTGGTTTTGAAAAACGGCCAAGACGACTGAGAGTAGTCGAACATCCACTCGCAAAAGTGGTTTCCGATGTCGAAGCCCCTGCAAGGCAAACGGGGAATCTCCGTCAAATGGGTTACCGTGCCGCGGAGGCGACTTGGGAGAGTTGAGCGAGAGCCGGCTCTGCAGATGAACCGGTGGCCTTCCCCCCTCCCCGTCGCCCCCTGTGTCCCTAAGCAAAGTGCGGTGCGCAACACGCGGGGGCTATGCATGCGCGTGTGTGCGTGTGCGTGCGTGCGTGCGTACGTGTCAAAGTAGCTTGCAAGTTATACAAACGTCGTTCAGAGTTTATGGCATTTAAAATTAACAAAATGTCTGTAAATGTCAGTTACACAAAGTTACTTTTTTTTGTTTCTTAAAGCAAGGAAAACAAAGAGGTACTACACGTTAGACAATGGTCGAGTTAAATGACGTCAAAATTGTTTCATTTTACTTTACAAACATTTCGTAGACATTGTTCGACGACGACTCAATATTCCATTAGAATTTAAACAAGTGTTGCGTTTACACTTTACTTTTTACGGTCCGTTTACATATTTTAAGAAGCAAGCTGATAGAAATTATTACAAGGTAAAAACGAAAACAGTCAAAAGATTTAAGAGTGAAAAATAGTTTGTTTTTCCTTAACGTATTCTTTTCAATTCCTCTCAAAAAAGTGATTGCTAAGTAACCCGATATGTGCAAGAATTAAGTCTTTAATGTTCCAATCTTTGCTTTTTCTTTGTAAGCAATGGGTTACAACTCACAGCATTACACAGCTGGGCACGCTGCTATTGTGAGTGCTGTTGCATGGAGCTAAGGCTCAGATTTGACCACTCTACCACGAGGGTATTTGCGGGGTTAACGGGTGTCGTGGCATCAAAAACTCCCAGGAGGACAGAGGTGGGGGGCGGTGGGGTGGGGTGGGCGCAAGTCCAGTTCTTTACAACAAAGCTCTGCTCGCTCAGAATCAAACGAGACGAGCGATAAGCAATACATCAACCCAATCAGCCACCCCACTTGGCAACTGCAACAACCCCACGCGGAAGATGATGATCGTTCGTCTCGCACACCCGAGCAAGTGAGTGAACTTTGGGAAGGAGGTTGGAAACGTCCCCGGGGGGGGGGGGGGAGGAGTTGTAATTTGGACCCTGGGTGAATGAGGCTGCCCTGCCCCACTTGCCGTGCAGCGGTGTCCAAGCAGCCGTCTCTTGACGAGTCACCTCGAGTTTTACCCAGAGGCGCGCATTGACGACGCGTCTCTCCTCTTTGTTAATTGCTCCTCAAATGCGTAATTATCGCCCTTGGATATTTTGTCAAGCTAAGGTGGTGCTGTGGGCAGAGTGCCCGACTCACAATACCAAGATCTTGAGTAAAGATCTCAGCCAGGGTTAACACAGGGCCCATCACCATCACTCAAAAGGAGAGGATTGTGAAAAGCTTCACATTGCTGTGGAGACCACCAACAGAGATGAGTAACGGCGTATAAATAACTATCACATCAGTAGCATTAACTTCCTGTTTTTACCAATGTCAGTGTGCCACTATGGCACAAGCAGTGAAATCCTATAATCAAGTCCAACACAAGTACATGTGTGTGATTAATCTGCTTAGTCTATCCCTTAGTATCTCTACGATTACCGAGGACCTGTTAACACACTATTTTATTACTAATATTATTTTGGCTTGTAATATCAATTGATGTCATAATCCATTTTTCACTTTATACTATTGGTTTTAACTCGGTAAATGCTTAGGTTGTTTATGCGTGGCTGCGTTGTTATTTATTGACGAATATTCCTCCATCATTCATTCTGTTACTCACCCCTCCCCCCACAACTGACGAAATCCATTCCTGCATTCTGTGCGCTACCAAGGTCAATCGTAATGTACCCATTATTGTTATTACTACTGATTACCCTTGCAATAACATCAACCCTAAAGTACCAAGTTGGGCTCGTCTCTCGCCTCGCAAGCTCAGGATATTCCCACGCTAGGTTTCTCCGCTGTGTACCCAAGGCCAGCCAGGACCCTAGCGGATCCACCGCCAAGACGTGCCGTCACGGATGGGGGGGACGGGCTAAGAAGCGGGACCGGCTATGGCCATCGCTGCACGGCAGTGTGTGGGGTACGGGGGGAGGGTGTGGGAGTGTAGCCACAGGGCGGGTAGAATGAGCGCAGGAGCGCGGCCCGGATCCCAGTAACCCGGCAAATGGTTTCCCGTGCGTGGTGTCATAAACGAGCGCACGTGGTGGCCCGCGTGGGGCCACCTGTCTATCGGCGAAGGCACTTACTCAACCCCCAGCCTCGTGCAGACCAGTAGGGGGCCCTCGGTTAGTGTTTTGACAACGCATCAAAAACACAAACTGAAGACAGACACGAACACAGCACAATTTTGCAGAAGAACAACACATTTCCTTTCGGGTTTTCGTTCTCTCGCTCTCTATCTCCGTTTCTGCTTTTTTATGCGTTCGTTTCTTTTTTGCCTTCTGAATTAAAATTCGACGCCTCTCGTGCGGCCCTTTGTCAAATCAAAACATGGGGCCAGCAAAACTACGAACAAACATGCGCTGCGCTACGCTACCAAACGCACAAGTTAGTTGCATCGTTTATCTGCTCATTAACGGGTTTTGTTGTATTATGCATAAGACCAAAGAAAGGAGTACGGTTAATTTTTAAACAGGCAAAGCTCTTACATTGCTTTAAGAAGTGTGTACCGAGCTCCGCTCATCCCTAGAAGGGTTAAGATCAGGTTATGCGGGGAAAGTCTAACACAAAACGAATCTAAATCGCTTCCAAGAGCAACAAGGCAAAAGTTTTCCTCCTCCTGGGCTGATTTCCGGCACCTGTTTGCTAGCGACCACACGGAACTTGCTAATCCAAACCCTGAGCAACACGAGTGCAAATCGATATCACATTCTGGGCTCTTCTGCTTCAATCAGACCAATTGAGATAACAAATGTCTTGCCTTTGTACACAATTTACAACATGCTGAGAATTGATTGCCACGAGTTTCTGAAGTTAAAAAAACTATTTAAACATTTCTGAATTTTATTTCCAATTCGTTTAAGTATTGAAGGTCTAACTTCCAGCAGTCACGGGCTCTGGGTAAATGAGCTGCTGCATTACACGGCAGGTATAGAGGAATTATAAATGTTAGCCCCATCGTGGCTGCTACCTTTGAAAAGCACATATCAATTAGGCATATGCAAAACTAATTTGCAAGGATTATTTGTTGTGCTACGATGAATGTGCATTGATAACAGCATTGTAAGTTCATTTGGATGTACAACCATCTTTGTCGCACATTCAAAATGGAGCATGAAGGAAACGTTATGGAATGGATTCTGTACACAACTTCTGTACACATCAGCCAATGGGATCGGCTCATGCTCACGGCAAAGGCCAATGAGAGCAGAGTTTGGATTAGCAACCATGGTGTCGCCATCTCTCCATCGACAAAGACTAACATAACAGCGTCACTAACATTTCCTGCTCGCGTTAAAACAGCAACAATGGCGGCGGTGAGCACAGGAAAAATAACAACCTGCTCATTGTAAAAAAATTCTAGTTGTATGTCGACTTTGTAAACTCAGAATGGGGATATAACACTTGACAGGTTTTTAGCGCTAAAACACAGCTGCTCTTAAAATAAATGCAGAAAAATGCAGTAAATTGCATTCAATTTGTATAAGTAGTAAAAAAGCATGTAAAAAAACTAAACGTTATTCACTCTAAACTCATTACGTCAAACAATTCGACGAAATGCAAGAAAACTTACCTCCGCTGTGTTGCAGCAACATTTTAGGAAATATTTAAACAGTTAAAATCATGCTAGATGATCTGCATGTTTTACTAACCCATATAAGAGCCGTGCATTGCTTTTACTGCTACGATTATTACATTTGGTTCAACAACAGTTTGTCGAATGGACATCACTGCCATTCTCCGGCCAAGAAAAATGTCTGCGCCATTCTCCAAAGTGCCAAAGAGGGCTTTGCACGACTACATTGCACCACATGTCCCGCATCTTGCTAATAGTTTCATCCAAACCTTACAATTACTCAGTCAGTGCAAGTGCCACATTTAGATTGGTTGAGTAAGACGGGGAGTAGATTTTGATGGATTAAAAAAAAATCCATATCAACGCACGTCCATTTCTACATATTTGCTGGACATACATATGTACCATTACGAACATTGGTAACTTATTATTTGATCTAAATCAAGTAAACGTGAAAAAAATTCCAAGAGATTTTAGAACTTCTGCATTACCAAATAATTTAAACATAGTCTTACCAAAATGTATCATCTTTTAAGAATTCAATTACACTACATGAACTAAGGCATCATTCATGGTATTCTATTTAAAAACTGCCATCATAAACATTTGGATACCATAACTTAATAGCCAATGATTTTTTTCACATTAATACTTGAAACAACCATTTAAAGAAGTTACAATTGTTTACTTATAGATATTTCACGTGCAAACTTCACACTTATTTCATTTGGCAAATGGAGTATTTTTGCTAAACAGCACAGTTTCACACTATTGAGCAATGATTTTTTTTTAACACACACACAAGTTCAATAACAGAAACACCATGTCGTACAACAAAAATATATCCATTCTAATTTAGAGTTGAGATCTCTGCATCACTACGTCTAGGCCTAGCCGGCGAGGCCTAGCGGGCGAGGGTTCATTAGGAGAGCACTCAGCGCTGCCCCACCTGTAATTGTAGCTGCTGTACTCGAAGTCAATGATCATGAGGCGAGCGCTGGCAGTCGAGTCCTCCTCATTGAGCAGGAGAATATTCCCTGGGGACAAAGACAAAAACAAAGATCCCCCCATATAGCCTTAGACTGTAGGGGAAAGTGCTGTTAGCGAGCACCTATAAAGGCCGGCACGGCACACGAGAGGGTGGGTGGCCAGCACCACTCCTGGCCGCCTTTGTCTCCCTAGTGGCGATGTTTACACATTGCACTAGGTACTCATTTGAGGCCTGAGTCGACCTAGTGGAGGCCCAGAACCGGTTCAGATAATCGTCACTGGTGATGGCCGCGAGCGGGAATCGAACCTGGGTCACCAGGTTCGTAGCGCAGCGCACAAACCGCTACACTGCTTCTCCCACAGAGGACACACACACACACACACACGCATGGGTGCTGACGATGCGTGGAACACATGGGTAGGTAGGGGGAGAGGCGGGGGGGCAGTCTCTGCATTGGACAACCACTGCCGACTTCCCATACAGCGGTACACCTCCGTTTGTTTTAACATTCATAATTGAGTTAGAAAGTCAAATTACTCCTGTTAAAAAGCAAACGCTGAGGCGGTACACATCTCCACTCAGCCAGGGCTTGGCTGCCCCGAGTCTGTGGTGCAAATTCCACATTGCTATGGATAGGATCAGTTCTCTACATGGGACAATCACTGTTGACTTTCCACAAAATGTTAAGTTTTTTTTAATCGCTAGAGGGATGAAGGGCAGAATGGGACCCTGGACGAGGATTTAGACTTCTCGACTTCCCGACTCGGATACGAGAGGGACTCTGCTGCAGTGTCAACCGACTGGATTGTCCATCCATGCTCACAGCTTTCCTCGAGCGGGGTCACCAACGGTATTTGCAGTTGGTAGTGACCGAGTGGACATACACAGAATCAGAATCTCCTATTTTTAACTGCTGAAGAATCCGATGAGCTATGAAGCGCTTTTTTCACGGATGGTCCAGTATGGGCACGGGGTCAGCGAGTAACAGCAAACAATACAAAAACAACGATTAGGAGTGCAAAAGAGAAAATGGTAAACAAGTCACGAAATATAAATAAATAATGACGTATTTATTATACAAGTCTGATTGAGCAAGATCGGCCTAGGCAGCGAAAACAAAAACAAATCAGTCCCAGACCACACCAAGGATAACACCACACAGCAGTAGGCCCTCAATAAATTGGCACATTAACATCGAACTATGGATACGCAGGTCATGATCAAAGGTACACGCGATGAAACGCAAAGGAATTGGCACGTGGTGTTACCTTCCTGACAATCATTGTGGCAAAACACGACCGGCGACGGCGTCTCTGCGAGTAGGGACCTGCACGACGGGAAAAATCGGAATTCCAAAATTAGTTAAATTTCCTACCACATTGCACAACAAAACCAACGCTTTCCATCAGACTCCCAGCAACGGCTAACAACATCGCCAGCGAGAGATGTCTGAACCATATCTGGCCCCAACCAAAGCCTTCGCAACGCACATTGGCCAGCATGGTGAAATATGGTCACACAAACCCCTAACGACCGACGCAGGATAAAAAAAAAAAAGGATTTTTAAATAAAAATGTACTTTACATTAGCTTTTTGCAGCCAATATTTAAATTCACAATTGATTTTGGGCTAGGCCACGTAATAATCTGGACGAATGTTGTCGTGTAAACCCTCCACTGCCGGACACAACCAAACAATTCAACCCTCACAAGGTGTGCAAGCGTTTAACAACGTTAATTCTAGATTTGAAGCTTTCATGACTGCAAGGATTCATACTCTTAGGTTTTTTCGGTTAAAGTCACGTAGGTAAAAAAAAATAATAAATGAAAATAACTCAATTAAATCACAACTTGCCAGTAAGTTTTGTTTCAGATAGTCGTTTAAGTTGAAGAATGCATTCTCATGACCAAACTTGGCAATTTTCTATGAAGTGCGGTAACTCCAAACTGGCTTAAGTTAAAGTTGTTGTTATTAGCCTTAAGCCCTCTCAATCAGCGTGCCCTTGATGGTGGTTCGCCCCCAGGTGGCCACACTCACTTGAGGGAGTCCATCTCCTGCACGAGGTTGAAGGCCAGCAGCTTGTTGAACTTCCGGATCTGCACCTCTCGCGAGAAGTTCAGCGTCATAACTTGGTCGAGATACCTGCAGTGGACACGGCGAGAGCGGTTCTCCTATTGGCACATGCATGCAGGGCCTACTGGGATGCTACTGCTTCATGATCCAGGACTTTCGACCTGTCTCGGCGTGTTGATGAAGAAAGTGTCCGCTACACTGCTAAACACCGTAAGCTTGGGCTATTGGGGAGACATTAGGGTCCCACACTACAGGGGGCGTGCATGTGTATGTTGAACTTCTTTCGCACCATACATAGCCAACCGTGCTAATCGGAGGTACGTGTGTGGGTGTGGGGGGGGGGGCGGTAGTGTAGCAATTACCGTTGTGCGCTCCGAACCTGGTGACCCGAGTTTGATTCCCGCTCATGATTGACACCAGTGACGATTATTTATACCGGTCCTGGGCCTCCCCTAGGTCTACTCAGCCAAAAATGAATACCTGGTACGGTGTGTAAAAACATCACCACTGGGGAGACAAAGGTGGCCAGGCGTGGTGCTGGCCACCCAAACCCCTCTTGTACTGTGCCAGCCTTCAAAGGTGCTATTCATTAACAGCACTTGCCCCAACAGTCTGTTAACGCGACACACGGGAGATCGTTGTCGTGCATCTCCCTCACTCACCGGGTCATGGTGTCAAACAGCCAGCGCGGCTCCTTGTTGAACGGCATCTGCATGAGGTGGAAGTGGCCCATCTTGGTGGCGATCTGGGCTGACAGCTCAGGCACCCAGAGCTCTTCTGTGGCCAATTTCCGGCTCTTAAAATGAGACGCGCGCGGGTGGGGGGGGGGGGGAGAGAAACACCACCACGACGAGTCAACGCGAGTCTCCCTCAAAGCGTGGGGGGGGGGGGGGGCAACACTCTAATCGCCATTGGTGGCACGGAGGCAGCGCTGCCAAGTCCACATCCTTACACTCAATCTGTTCCAAGGACAACCACCGCTGACTTTCCAGAATGTAGTACTTAATTGAATGATCGTGGAAGATTGATGGGTTGAGTTAATTCCCCCCCCCCCCACCCCCCAACCAGGAATCAAATTTGCAACCCTTTGATTGGCAGTCAGGCGATCGAATGAAAATGGCACCTGGCATGAACTGTGAAGATACATCGACAGGTTTTCCTCGCTTTATGCGGTAGATGCGTACTAAAAAAGGGGCACACAAAGTAAAACCGCACGAGACGGCTGCCTGCCGAGTAGTGCACACAAGACACACACAATGTTGTTCCACGGCCCTCAGATTGATTTAAATAATCAAAAAAAGAAATGCTATTTGCTTCAAATTACCAATACAATGACTCTGGCTGGACCAGCATTTCAATTGTATCAGAGGGCAGCACTACCAGTATGTGCTGCTGTATTATCCACGACCCCCGCTGGCATGCACTGCTGATAAAGAGGGCGGCCCTACTGGGATCTACTGCTGTTTTATCCATGACCCCGCTGGCATGCACTGCAAATAAAGAGGGCGGCCCTACTGGAATCTACTGCTCTATTATCCATGACCCCCGCTGGCATGCACTGCAAATAAAGAGGGCGGCCCCTACCGGGATGTACTGCTCCAGGCGGCCCTGGGGGAAGATGCCGTAGAGCTTGGGTCCCAGCGCTCGCTCGGCCAGGATGGCGAACATGACACTCTCCAGGACGATGGCTGTCGCGCTCTGTGCAGCCGCACACAAACACAAACACAACCATCCGTTAGGTCTCGCACACTGCCGGGCGCAAGTGCTGTTAGTGGAGCACCTTTAAAGAGGCTGGAATGACACACGAAGGGGTGGTGTATCCATCAAACCATGCCTGGCCACCTTAATCTACCCCCGCGGCTGATGTTTGCACGTAATGCCGAGTATTCACTTAAGGCCGAGTCAACCTAGCGGAAGTCCAGTGCAGGTTGCTGGTTCGAATTCTAAAAGCCAGTGCGTGGCCAAGAACTGAATTTTGGAGTCTGGGATCGTAGCACAGTGTGCCAATTCGCTGCACCATCATCCCGTGTAAGATCCTGAGCTGAATTTGAAATCCGTTTTGCTGCTATATACAAACTGGACAGCCCTTTCACGTGCATCGCCACCAGGTGGCAGTCACTCGCAGCGCCACTCCCTTGAACATGCCAAGCGTGTGGCACAAAACACGTGCAGAAAATGCGTCCGCCGATTCACACTGGGGAAAGGATGACGGTTTTGTGCGAAACCTGAAAAGGCAGCCCCAGTCGGACAGGCAGCATTAGGGGGCTCTGGCTCAGCTGTAGCAAGTGAGGGGCTGAAAACCACAAACGGTGAGCTGTGAACGGCAACATTATAAGGGGAACAGAGTGGAAAAGGGCCTCGGTGAACCACCACCGGAGGGGTGGGGAAGAGAGGTTTAAGAGTGAAGTCAAGTTAATTTTGTTTAAACCAGAGAGGGGAGAACTCACGAGACTAGCATCGTCTCAATTGCACGAATATCCTTGGTCACCAAAATGACAACAAATAAAAATACAAAATACAGCAATGATGCAAAGAATGTAATGGGTTAGTATTAGGGTCAGTTAGAACTGAACTGAAAGGGATCATTCTCATGGCTGGTGGGATGCACTATACAATGTATGGATTTTGGACCTATCGTTATAATCACGGATTCAGACCAGGGTTATTAAACGATAACCGGTAACCCCCCCCCCCCCCTCCATGCGGTTAGCAGTATTGCAAAACATTTTAGCAACCCGAATTTGTTTGCAAGGCTTAAATCATGCAGGAATTGGCGACGAGGCTGACACCATCAAGCTGGTTAGCTGCTGAGAGCTGCATTCAAACACAGGCTTCTTCTCAGCAGCACTGGCTCAGTACTCCAGCCATGACCATTACGAATCATCCAACTACGGCTGGAACCTGGAAATTGCTGGTTCAGCACAGCCATACGGAGCCCCGTGGCGAGAGAAAGAGAGAGAACAACCAGCCGAGAGCCTCGTCTCTACGCGAAGCGTCGTCGTTCAAGAGACGAGGTCACCCCTGGAAATTTAAGCCGAGTCGGGCGCGCGCTGGGAGGGAGAAAGAGCGGGGAAAACGTCGCCTGGCAACTGGCAAAATGTGATGACCCCGTTTTCACATTCACAGCCTAGACGACGCAGCTAGTTCATATTTCCGCACTACCTCTTTTATTTCCTCGCACAAGCATCCAGCCTGTCGCACGTCATGAACGTTCTTGAAGGGAATAAGTTGTGCCGGCTCCAAAAAACCCTGTCTACGCAGTGTATATTGCAGAATGATCCTATCGTTGTATTTTACAATTCGTATTTTCAGGAAGCTTCGGCATGCTGCAAACAGCTCATTTGGAAATACAATCCTCAAGACCTTTCAACTGACGGAGCACGTATATCCTACAGTGTGCCACGTGGAACACCATGCGTTCTTCTTATTATTATTATCATCACGCCAAAGGTGCATGGTCCTCAAACCGAGCCTACCCAGCGTGACCCACTGCATGCCCGACACACACATGAAAGCAGTCTAGGGATTCACACTAAACCTGCACGTGGAGGCATCAACTATACAGGAAGTTAGGTGGAAGTGAAGCATGCTAGCAAGGCCAGCAAGAGTGCTGGTTCCAAGAAGCCTCAAGACGAGTCTTGGTCGCCACATGTTTTTGAAACAATGGATCGGTGACGTTGAACAGACAACATAGGTCAGATAGGCTGTGTGCTGCGGTTATATAATTTCGTCACAGAATTATTTACAAATGGCAGGATACACTTACTGTGTCCTACCCTTTGGTCCGATATCCATTACAAAAACGGTGTTGATCAGGTCTCAATTGGCCGACCGCTGGACGGGCTGAATGGGATGTGCGTACAATAAAGTTGAATGATTTACCACTTGGACAATGAGATTAAGAATGTTTGACCACTGCATTACAAGTCCTACTGTCTGTTGAAATTCCGACAACTCATTTGCACCTCTGCGAGCCCATTATGCAACACCCAACCTCAACTACCGAGACTATAAGGTATTAGACTACAGAAACAAAAACCCTTAACTGGATTGGTCAAAATAGACCTCCGGTCTGGACCTCCACGTAAAAAAAAAAAATCTCAATCTGTCAGCTGAACATGCGCCTATATGGTCAGAGTAGGCAGGCAGATGCACAATATTCTAATTCCCATGTGGAAAGTGTTTTTTTTTGTTACAGAATCTAGAGGTACAAAATGTACAAATGAGGATCTATAGGAAAGTCGGTTTTCAAACACACATTTCAATATATGCATTGGAAGCATAGTTAGAGATTCTCAAATAATGTCGTTTAACCTTTCACATACTTTCAACCAGAGAACGGTTGTCAGTAGGGATGCAGTGCAGCTTAAATCAATTGTTGTACAGTGCTACAATTCCAAGTCTATACTCTTCACGTGCACCAAACTGCACGGAGCAGCTGGTAAAATATGGTCCAATAACCTCCTTGACCGGCCCCCGATGTGAGGATCTTATCCAGCAGGGAACTCACAAAAAGGGTTGTACATGTACGTGATCATACATGCAGACATGTAAATATAAGGCTTGTATACATATATCCAAAGATTGGGCTTCGCCCAACGTTTCGCAATGCATCTGCAATAAAACAACATCCATAGCCTTGCTTCTACACCATCAATTGCAAGATGACAAGCAACATACCTTTAATCAAAAGCCCAGTTATCAAATTACATCCTTCCGCCAACACGTGGGTAGACCTCACAAGTAGCAGCGCTATGGCTGGCTGGCATTGGGGCTGCAGGTTGAGTGTTTCTCTCCCAACAAGATATCCGGTGGTGCTCATCTCTCTCTCTGACAGCTCTGAGCCAATGCCAGCAATTCGACATTCCTTTGGCAGAGGGTCAGTTTATTCATAGGACGACCATTCCCGTCTTCACAAAGGACAACACCGCCATTGACAAAAGCGACGCGGTAGGCAGCACGGGTGGTGTATCCGAAAAATCACCCCGCGTTAACCCGTACGTAGCACATGGGTCGCATCACGTTGACCTCGGGCCAGCAATCCTCCCGACAAGTCGCGTGGCCTTCACGTGCATCTGGCGGTATTAATCTGCTCAGGATTAGAACTCGCTCCTTTTCCGACTGCAAGTGGAGCGCTCTCAGAGCACAGCGGTTGGATGATTTAAAACACTGCCCAGAGCTCAATCCGTCACAGTGCACAGCGTGGGCCTGGGCTCTACACAATGACAGGACCCAACCGACCCACGCGATAGGCATGGACGTTTTCCATAGGGATGTGATCCATAGGAAGCATCTGTGCGATTCAGGATGTGCACGCGTGTGTGAATGTTATCTGTGCGTGTGCGCATGTGGGAACAGTGGCAGTGGTTCATTCACTGCCCTGCGAAACTGGAGACCTGGGTTCTACGTCCAGTGACGCTCAATATCAGTGGGAAAACAGCACGGAAACCTATCCTGCTCCTCCCCTCGAGGTTGACTCAAACGAGGGGTGTGTAAACATCAGTGCTGAAGACAAAGGTGCGGGCCACACCACCTCCTGCGTCACGCTAGCCTGCACAGGTGCGTGCCAACGGCATTTGCCCCCAAGGGCTCTGCTTTTGCGAGAATAATGTCTTAGGTCGAGGCAAAGTGTTAACCAATTTGCACTGTGCTTCCAAGTAGCCCCAGATTCAATCCCCGATTATGAAATATAACACCGGTACTTGATCAGAGCCTTCTCCAAGCAGACTCGACCTAAAATTACTACCTCGGCATTGGTGAGACAAAGGCGAATGAGCATCGTTTCTTTGCCACCACGGGCCATCGTGTGCCGTGCCAACCTTCATGAGTGTTCGCTTCAACTATGGTCCGCTGTGGTCTACAAGGGTGAATGGGGGGGCCCTGTCATTGTGGGTGTGTTCGGTGCACTTTACCCTAGCACTACAACTACGATGGCATGTGGCTGCTGCTATCGTTGACAATGCGAATGTATGAATGTGCGAATGAGTGAACGTACAATATGCGTGTCTGTGTGAGTGTCTGTGGGGAGCGGTGGTGTAGCAGTTAGCGCGCTGCGCTATGAACCTGGCGACCCGGGTTCGATTCCCGCTAACGGCCAACACCAGTGACGATTATCTGAACCGGTCCTGGGCCTCCCCTAGGTCGACTCAGCCTCAAATGAGCACCTGGAGCGATGTGTAAACATCGCCCATAGGGAGACAAAGGCGGCCCGGCGTGGTGTTGGTCACCCACACCCTCGTGTGCCATGCTGGCCTTTAATCGGTGCTCGCTAACAGCACTTTCCCCTACAGTCTGTTAAGGCTATACTGGGGATCTTTGTCTTTGTGTGTGCGCGTGTGTGTTTTTGTAGAATATGCCAAGAATTTGGCGCCACTTCCCCTCGCATGAGCACACGCATGAATAGAGAGCGTGTAACAAAAAAAACTAAAAACCAACATGGTCCTGTAAAGGCGAGCCAGCAAGCAAAATGTCGAATGTTTTCGCTTAGCCACGTAGTTCTGCAGGACTGGGCAAGGCCGACTCGGTTAGACAAACTGCTGGATTACGAACTAGCGGCCACAGTACGAGGCTGGGGAGCTGGACTTTCACCGCCGCAGTGCAATTTATGGAATTTACAGTTCGTCTTGCTCGTGCAAAATCTTCAAATGGGGGGGAGGCAGTGGCTGAGAATCTTGGCTGCAATTTTTATTGATCCCACA